GGGGGGGCAGTGTTTTTGCATTTTCATTTACACTGACCAACCAGCAAACACTTCTTTTTAAAAATCTACTGCAAGCCTTTTTTCTTAGAACCCTTAGTCGCCATTAGAGAAGACCTCTGTTATGGTTTTTACTCCTTTTTAGATAGGAAGTGACATCTGGTTGGTGTATTAATAACATTGTTCCATAATCTTCTAAAAGACAACCTATGGTGGCTAAAACATCAGTAAGTACATGTGTATTAATGAATGTAAAATGTTTCTTTCAGGAAAGTGATGATCCAATGGCTCACATTCACTTCACTGCTGAAGGAGAGGTTACCTTCAAATCCATCTTGTTTGTGCCTTCCACAGCTCCCCGTGGTCTGTTTGATGAATATGGCTCCAAGAAGAGCGATTTCATTAAAGTATGTAGGGTTACTGTTGTGTGTGTGTGTGTGTGTGTGTATATTCACAACCGCAGATCTATCTTCCTCTAATGGCGTCGTCTTTCTCAACAGCTCTTTGTCCGCAGAGTTTTCATAACTGATGACTTCCATGACATGATGCCAAAATACTTAAACTTTGTTAAGGGAGTGGTAAGTTGTGGTTTTTATTCATTTTTAGGAATCTGTTTCTATGCTTCCCGTTTTAGTAATTCTAAACCTTTTTTCTATTTATTTTTGGTACTTTCTAGGTTGATTCAGATGACTTGCCTCTTAATGTATCTAGAGAAACCCTACAGCAGCATAAACTGCTAAAGGTATGTTTTTAATGATCCTTTTTTGGCTCGTGTGTAATTTTTATCATTTGGAGTAACTTGGTAAGAGCTTCTGTATAGAGGCTTTTTGCATCAGAACCTCTTTTCACCATACAAGTCAATAGGAATGTGAAAGCAGCTTGATGTAGCTCAGGTCAATAGCAAGTGATCAGCTCCTGTAAAGGAATTTGCAATGACCTCAGAAGCATTGCAGACTGATCTCCAATGCATTTGCCAGTTTACACAAGCCTAGACCAAATCCCTCCCTTGGCAGATGCTGAACAAATCCTAGAAGCTATATAGACAGGGTGGGGGGCTTTGTTTTTTGTAAGGTGGGTTGTTTGTGTTTAATTTGTCTACCCCCAAAAGGTGCCAGTAGCCACGCCACATGATTGCTTTTCTTCCTGTCAGTAGGCTTTGGAGCTATGAGTGTGCCTTTTCAAGCACTGTTTGGAGAAAGTGATGCTTGGTTTATAGTTTGTGTCTGACTGCTGTCTTCTCCTTATGGTTAACTTAGGTTATAAGAAAGAAGCTGGTGCGCAAAACTTTGGACATGATTAAGAAAATTGCAGAAGACAAATATAATGAGAAATTCTGGAAGGAGTTTGGCACAAATATCAAACTTGGTGTGATTGAAGATCACTCTAACCGCACCCGTCTGGCCAAGCTTCTCCGATTCCAGTCTTCCAACAGCAAGACAGAGCTTACCGGTCTGGACCAGTATGTTGAAAGAATGAAGGACAAGCAGGATAAAATTTACTTCATGGCTGGCTCAAGCAGGAAAGAGGTTAGCTTTACAGCTGCTCCTACTTTTTCTTGGTAAGTAGGGATGCACCAATACCAGTTTTTTCTGTATCGATTACTGATATTTTGCATGCGGTACTCCTGTGATACAGAGTACCGGTGCTTCTGCTGGCATGGAGCCGGGCGGTGGGTAAATGACCTGCCGCACGGCTTCCTGATGACCCGTGAAGCCGACTCCTTGTTTGGACGGATCAATTGTGATTGGCCGGGAAACCGGCTTCCCAGCCATCAGGAAGCCCGGAGGCAAGTCATTACTCACCACCCAGTTTCCTGATTGCCCAGGAAGCCTGCTCCATGTTCTCCTATGACACTGCCGGTCAAAATACATTTTCCTCTGATCGCTTCTGGTATCTGAGCATTTGGACAGTACGAGTGCTCTCCCAAATACTCAGTATTGGCACCGATACTGGTATCTGTGCATCCCTAGTGTTAAAATTCAGAGAAACGATGAGTGCACAAGCTGATGCTTTGGTTCTACTCCTTCAGGTGGATTCTTCCCCATTTGTTGAACGTCTGCTGAAGAAAGGCTATGAAGTGATATTCTTAATTGAACCTGTAGATGAGTACTGCATACAGGCCCTGCCAGAGTTTGATGGCAAGAGATTCCAGAATGTTGCCAAGGAAGGACTGAAGCTTGATGAAAGTGAAAAAGCAAAGGAAACCCATGAGGCCCTGGAGAAGGAATATGAGCCACTGCTTACCTGGCTGAAAGATAAATCTCTGAAAGACCAGGTATATTTATAGACCTTCTGCACCGTACCTTTTACAATTGTAAGGTTTTTCTTTAAACTTTCATATGTCTTTTACCAGTTTAAATTTGTATTTTTAATTTTTTTATAGATTGAAAAAGCTATCATATCCCAGCGTTTGACACAGTCCCCATGTGCACTTGTAGCTAGCCAGTATGGGTGGTCTGGCAATATGGAAAGGATTATGAAGGCACAAGCATACCAGACAGGCAAAGACATTTCCACAAGGTAAGATGTATTTGATATATTTAGCTGGCATCCTGTGTGAAACCAATGGCTTTACACTGGATAAGTAGGCTTGCTTCTTGTAAAGGGGGGGTTTTTTGGGGGGTTTTTTTTGGTAAAGGGGGGGTTTTTGGGGGGGGGGGGGGTTTAAGCATCTAATCCATCTAGATCTTCAGCTTCTGCTCTGACTTTGCATGTATGCAGGTTTTTATTAACCAACTATATTACCTCTTTCACTTCAGTTACTACTCCAGCCAGAAAAAGACTCTTGAAGTAAACCCAAGACATCCTTTGATAAAGGAAATGTTGCAGAGAGTAAAGGTGAGTCGTTTTAGCAATCCTGTGGCCAAAATAAAAAAGCTTAAATATAAAGCAGTACCTTCTGGGTGCCTGTAGACCTGCTCACCCCCAAATCCTGGCATGGTCCTGTGTGCCTATATTGATCTGATTTTCTTGAAGAGCCTGACCACACACTACAGGTTGATAGGGCCACCCATCAGGGCATGCATATATCAACCAGATGTGGTAGAGATTATGCTCACTGTCACAGTGATGGGTCAGTGGTGATTCAATCTAGCATGGCAAGGCTGTTGGCGTACAGAAACCTGGAGATGGTCACCATATGTGTTTCAATTATTTATTATTGCTACAAGTTTTATGGAAGTGGTGCACAAGTTCAATGTTGATGTGGTCTTTATATGCCTTTTTACTCAAGCATGGGGTTTCATTGTTCAATATCCCCAATAGAATGCGGTATCATTTGGTACAAATCTACTAATTACAGTGGTCTTCAGTCTACGGATCCTGGGTTAGAGCAAGAGGTTGTTGGGTTACTCTGTGAGAATTATGTAAACAAATTTTAAATTTTCATTTTGTGAACAGGAAAATGAAGATGACCAGACTGTATCAGACCTCGCAGTAGTACTTTTTGAGACTGCCACGTTACGGTCAGGATATCAGCTACCAGATACAAAGGCATATGGTGAAAGAATAGAAAGGATGCTGCGGCTAAGCTTAAGTATCGACCTTGATGCCAAGGTAAAGGCTGAATCTTTAGATTTTATTTTACTGCCTCGAATTGCTGTACTAGTGTATTGCTGCACTTGAAACTACCATATTGGGCATTGTATGCAATCATTTCTAAATGTAAACCTTTTGGGGCTGATTTATAGCTGCTTCACTCAGTATTACTGCTGCTAGATGGAGCAGAGGACCGTATGAAATATCTATGCTCCTCGACTCCATCCAGCGGCAGTAATGGAATGCAAATGGCAGTCACCCAGCAATGCACTGGTTAAAACAGTTTTATAACTCGGACCTTTATGTGTTGTCAAATACATTGGATGTTGCCTGTCTTGTAGATCGTCAAGTATGTTTGACTGATTCAGTATGACCGAAAAGAGTAATAAAATGAACCTGCGTTCTTAACTATTGCATACGTTGGTTGCAGGTTGAGGATGAGCCAGAGGAGGAAGAGGAGCCAGCAGCCGATGAAGCTGAGCAGGAAGATTCAGATGATGACGTTGAAGAGGTTGATGCAGAAGAGAAGGACGAAACATCAAAGACAGAAGAACAGACAGAAAAACAGGTCAGTGTCTAAAGTTGTCACACCATTTATCAGCATTTCGCATGCCACATGATCTTGCATAGGGGATCACACTACCAAAGTAAGCACTCCTAAAACTATTGCACAGCATTTCTCAAAGGGTTGTTTATCTAAATACAAAACATGAGTATACAAATGACAAACCTTTCTGAGCTTGCTTGTGATTTTATTTAGCAATTTTAAAATTGATTTGCACCAAGACCTGGGACTTCAACACACCGAATTATATTTTACAGAGGCTGTGTTTACTGTGGGTAATCCATTATGATTAAGAAGTGGGTTTGTTTTAAAGAGTTTTATGGGCTAGAGTATATTCATATTTTTATGTACAATGTATAAAATAGTTTGACTTGTTTTAGGAGCTCTTTCACTTTTTTGTGATCTTTTTAATAGTGGGTGGCTACAGTAGTATTTTTTGCTGTGACCTTGATGGGTAAATTTTACCCCTCATATTTTGTCCTGGTGACCATTGTCACTATCGGAGCAAGAGGTGAGATCTCTAATGGACCCCCTCTCCCCATCTGTTCCTATGACCACTCTAAGATGGGAATTTTTGTTTATTTTGGAGATCTCTCATTTTCCTGTTATCTCCAGGACAGGCATGAAGGGAAATCTCCCCATTTAGGTTGTTTTGTGGTCTCTCTTATAGAGTAGGGAAGGGTTAAAACCCCTGCCAAAAACAAAATAAAAGTTAAGGGTTAAGTACAAAAATACCTAATGTTGCCCGAAATCTTGTAAGCTGAAACTTCTGTGCTGTCAGCATGGAGATCAAAAAAGAGGGTAAGGGCGGCAGATGAGGTCTGTGTTCTTTGTAATGCATTAGAAATGAAGTGGGCAGGGCTGACATGGATCTCCAAGCCAAAAATACACTAGGCCAGATAAACTAAGGTTGGTTGGTTGGTTGTTGAGGAATGTGAATTATTGCATGGGAACTGTTTTCTGACACAAACATTACAATATTTTCATTAATTGAGAAAATATACTAGTAAGGTGGAAATAAATACATCTTTATTTTCTGTATGGTTTTCAGGCCTTCCTGTTGGCCTAGATTTTTAGGGAACCTTTTTTTTCTCTATACAATAAATAGTACACCCTTAAAAGATCTGGTCATTGAAAGGAACATGGAGCTTACCATAACTCAGCTCTCATTCTAAAAATACTAGTTCCTTGACTGCCATACTGCAAGAAGTGTGGCTAAGACTTGACTTTCACAGATCAGTACACTTGTTCTGGGACATTGGAGTCAAACTGTAGAGGTTAGTGGGTCAGGATAACAGCCAGGTAACTATCATTTTCAGAATGACGTGTAGTGGCAGCCCTTATATACTTGCAATAACTGGTTTATTTTCTATATGATCCCTTGGATTAGGGTAATAGCCATTAAACTGGTTTTGCTTGTTTATAGATTTTTTTTTTTTGGTTCTTGAATGTAACTTTTTTGTTCTTCTTTCAGGAATCCACACATATAAAAGATGAATTCTAAATGCCATCTCGCAAACCAACTAGTGGGGGTGGGCTTTTTCAGTGTTTGGGAGGGTTTTTTAGTTTGTTTATTTTTTTGTTTATTTTTTTAAGAAAAGGAAAAAAAGCATTCCTCATGAATGTAAATTTGTACTATTTATGAGTATATGGTTGTAAAATCTTTACATGTGCACACAAATGTTCTGAAAAGTCACACCGAATTCACTGTCAAGATGGAACGTGGCAATGCCACCCAACAGACTTTGTTACAATAGCATTGCAAGCTGACACCTCAGATGTGGAAGGGATTTGGCATTAACCTGCACAAACCAGAAAAGGACTGGGTATCTGTTCATCTTGATGAACCGTCTTGTACCAAGCTGGCTGAAGTACAATCTAGCACTACAGAGCAGAACTGGACTCAAAATGTGAAATGTCAAGTGTAATGGTTATGTTTGTCGTCCTGGAACCCTGACTGAAAAGCGGCTAAGGTTCATCTTGTAACACTTCCGGTTACTGTTGTCACAATTTTACAGTCAATGTCCACATCAAACTCCTTTAAACAATAAAGTTGTGGTGACTTTATCATTGATTTAAGTTGTACTTTATCTGCTTGTGTTGCTCAGCTAGAAAATAAGGCTTCAATCACCAGGGGCACCCTGGCATTCCTGTGGCAAGAGCCCTATGGATTCCTGTGGCAGGAATCCCAGGTGTCCCTGTTCAAATGTGGCCGCTATACCCATTGAATTAACTGACCGGGTGATAGTGGCCGCACCTCTCGGCGACAGTCCACAGGTAATTGAACACTGATTTTACATGTGGTTTGAGATGGATAGTTGCTAGATGCGGGATAGATGCTTCCAGCGACAATCTCTTACAAACTGCATGTAATTGTACCATGTACGATTACATGCGTACTGCTGTAGCCCTATCATTTACTTTAATGGGTGCTGAGGCGGCATCTGAAAGGGGACATCCCCGAAGGCCCTGTGTGAATGGGGCTTAACAATGCTCTTAAAGGAAACCTGTCTTCAGAAGTTTGGGTACTGTCATTTAACATTTCCACCTGACAATGCTAATCCTTTGATTTGAACGCATTCTGTGTTTGCTGACCTGGAACAAGTATGCATATCAAAAATGTAAAGCCCAACTCCCACCAGTGGGCAGCCCACAATGATACGTGCAGCGCTGCTGTGATTCCAGCACTGCTTTTTCATCAGTAGAGGTAACTAAATCATGGTGCCCTGAACTCAGTATGTGCTCAGTCTTAGCTGCTTGACACTGGGTCTCATTTGACATGGACGACTGAGGACAGCTAGTGGCTGAATTTAATTATTTTGGGAGGCAGCACCAGAAAGGAGGTGAACATTGCAGCCAGGGGAGGGGGGGGTTAATAAGGGGCTGATTTACTAAAGCTGAACTGGTAGAAGGGGGGACACAAATGCCAGCTAAGCAAGCATCTGAGTTGGAGCTCTCCTTTTTACAGCAGCAACTTGGCCTGAGGGTGGAAGGGGCAGCACTAGTGCTGTATGTACATGTGCTAAAAAGTGTGAGGTGTGCTGTCACTGCAGCAGTGGCGATCGAAGACTTGGGAGGGGAAGACTGTCCTTACTGGGATGCTCTGTATCCCACTGCAAATCCTCTTCTGGCTACCATGCATTTATATTGACCGTTTAGCTGCTTCCCTGAAAGTAAACTTTTTCACTTGGCTTCATACTGTTGCATTAGAGTAATGTATGGCGCAGGTATGCAGATGGGGTTTTTGTGTTTGTCAACCAGTTAACATGCGTTAGATGTGGTGGCCTTAATTGTCATTGTTTTAATGTATCTATAAATGTAGTGTTACTGTACAATAAATATTAGGACTACAGAACACCTCCCCTTCTCGAACAGTGGGTCCAGCGGCCTAGTTTAGCATTTTTTAATAACCAGCACCAATGCCCTTAATGTGCATTTTTATGCGTTGCTGCGGCATAACGGTGTGAAGCCCTCGTAAAAATAACTTCCATAGCACTGGTTTTTCATGTGTCAATTACACGGCATCAAGGAAGGGCACCCACAACCATCGGAATGTGGGTGGTAATGTGATCTACAATTTCCCTACGCATTTATTATGTTAAGCTAATGAAGCTTACAGCAGCTGTGTAGCTTTGGATGTCAATTACTCTCCTCCAAACTGCAGTGAACTATAGACACCCTAATGTTTCTGTGACATGGGGAATGCTATTCCACAAATAAATTTATGCAAGGCTGATGTCACCTACATAAAGTTTGGCATAGTTATGTTGCATTATTAAAGCAAAGCTAATCCAAGCAAAAGCAAGCTCCCTTAGTAAAATTTTCCAAGTCTTTGTAACCAAGAAAGAAGCTTCCAAGTGCCAACTGAAGAGCTTAAACAATTCAAGATGCAAGGACATGCCCTGCAATGGTAGCACTCTGGTGCAGAGAGGAGAGCTGTGTCCCAGCACCCTGTTAACTGAGGTTCACCAACTGGATCCTGCAGCATACCACACTCTTCTCATGGGTATAACCAGGATGCAGGTGCTTCTGCCTGCCAGACTTCCTGATCATCATCCCATGGGGCAGGTCTAACTAATCAGGGTTCTCCCCCAGACAGATTTAGACCCCACCATACTTCAGTAGCCACCTACTGTCCCTGCCAACCAAGTCAGATGTGAAGGCTCTTGCAGTGCAAACAGAGGGGGTGCTTGGATTCCCTGCCTACTTGTATGAATGAGCTCCACATGTATGGTAAGTATATCAAAATTTCAACTAAACCTTCAAAAATCATAAGCCTTAAATGTCACTCT